CGGATTGACAAACAACTGAGGAAAGAAGAGAGAACATTCAGTTGGAGGGTTTTGCTCTTATATACTTACATTTGGAGTTAGATGTCAGTAATATGATTATTCTGTTTGGTTCTCTCTCTCTCTCTACAACCCCAACAGTGCATACGTGTTAAATCAGAAATATATATTACAGAGTTAAACATGTTAAAGTCTTATTTAATTATTTAATTCTCCCTCTCTCTCTCTATCTCTCTCTTTATCTCTCTCAGGAGTTGAAGCCTACAGCCTCTCTGTGCATGCAGCAACTGATGGAAAAGGGGGTCTTTTTTTATGATGTTGTATTATGTGTTATTGCAAAAATGAGTATATACAGTATATAAATATGCATTCTTGAACCATTCTTGAGTCTTGTGTCTTGCCTCTCTACAAACTTTTAAATATCTGGCTGTAATTTAGTGACTGCAAATACTGATTTCATTTGATTCCATCTTTATTATACCTGATAATGAGCTAGTTCAACTTAAGGGAGCTAATCAATATACAGTATATTTCAAGAAACTAAGACTTAAGGTACTCCACTTTTTCAGTTGTTTAAAGACTGAAATACATTTTTCATTTATATTTTAAGTGTAAATTCATTTAAATTTCAAATTGTTAACTCAAAGCAGGTATTACACACTTTGTAATTAACATCTAATGCATTTATAAATCAAAAATCACAATTGAAATAAAAAATAAATGTTCCTGAGATTCAATATTTTTAACAACATGTACAAACATTACTACAAACTAAACCACCAGGGTCCTATAAATGCGATCCTGAAACTGCAGCCTCCGCTATATTATCCAACTCGGTAGGTGGCGCTGTTGCAAAAGCATAGGGTCCTAGAACTGCGGTCATGAAACTGCAGCCTCCGGTTGTGCAGGAACACCCTTCTCGCACTATCAGTAAAGCGACAGCGAGTCGTGCACCTTCACACTAGTTTACGGTACGTCAAAAACAGGTGCGCTGCGTGCTACATACTGCGCATTCATTGAGTACATGACATGATCCATTGAGCGCATCCAAATAGTACAGATCGCTTGACGGAGAGCGAAACTCTCAAGCGCTCAGTCAGCGTGTTTATCGAGTGAAAATCTGTGTTGAATCCCTCTCACACACGTACTGTGTAAAATCTAAGAATTTATTAGTCAATGGCTAATGTTAGATATTATTTAGTCGCCCAGAGTAAGATTTAGTCGCATATGCAAGTGATTTACTCGCAATGTAGAGGGTTGTCTTAGTGCTGCGTTCGACACCATAGATCATGACATACTCATAGATCGATTACAAAACTATACAGGTATTCAAGGGCAAGCTGTATAAGTGAATTTCATTATTAGTTCATGTTAACTAATGTAGTTAACTAATGAACCTTATTGTAAAGTGTTACCATAAACTTGAACTGAATTGACCTGAATATCGTCCTCTTTTGGAATGCCAAACAAAGTAGTTTCGCTTTCACAATGAAACACAGTGTCTTCACGACATGGCAGCAGCAACAATACTACTACTACAGCGAGAATAAAAGTTACGCCTTCTTTCTTTGTGTGAACATTTGGACGGCGTTATGCAAATCTTCCCACATAGTGACGTAGACATGTGGGGGCGTGTTAGAATGAGCCGTTTTAGGTAGGAGTGGTTGACTCTTAACGTTTATAAAGAATATCTCTTAGGATTTGAGACTTTAGTCTTTGCAACTTTACAGATCTTCTTTATGTACCAAGAGCTTGTAACACTCCAAAGAGAAAGGAAAAATTGAAATCGCATCATATGACCCCTTTAAGTCTGAATGGTCTGAGGTCGGTAAGATTTTTTTTAAAGAAGTCCTTATGCTCACCAAGGCTGCATTTGTTTGATCAAAAATATAGCAAAAACAAACAATTACAACTTCAAATAACTGTTTTCCATATTAAAATACAATTTATTGCTGTGATGGCTAAGCTGATTTTTTTTAGCAGCTATCACTCCAGTCTTCAATGTAACACAGTCCTTCAGAAATTTGGTGCTCAGGAAACATTTCTTATCATTATCGATGTTCAAAACAGTTGTGCTGCTTAATAATTTTATGGAAACCATGATGCATTTTTTTCAGGATTATGTGATGAATAGAAAGGTCAAAGAAACAGCATTTATCTGAAACAGTTAATTTTTTAACATTTTAAAACCCATTTATTGCTCCAAGTGCTACATAAAAGTATTATTTTCCTAATTTCTTTCTAAACCTGACCCTACACTTTTAAACAGTAGAAGTGATTAACACACATTTGACAGAAAAAAAACAGAAGACAGGGATTTTGTAATACAAAAAGGAAATGACAAGCTCCATGTCTTTTCATTGGACAACATGTAACAGTCAACTTGTCTCACATGCACTTTGGAAGCCAATCATATAAAGACCCTGACATCACTGAAACGCTTTCTGGGTTTTATGACAGGGGAGAGTTAATAACTATACTACTATGTAAACAGTGAATATCACATATGGGTTAGAAAATATAACTATAATTACCTAGATTCTCCTTAAGCATAAATTACTACCTTTAGAAACATCTTCATTTAAAAAAAAAAAAAAAGGTAGTGTTGACTTAGTTGGTGAATAACATTAAGGGAGGACTATGCATACAAGAAATGACAAACCTTAAATCACTCATCTCAGAACCAGAAAAACACACAGAGACAGCCACAGCCACACACACACACACACACACACACACACATTACCTCCAACATAACTGTCACAAGACAATGTGACACAAACTCAGTTTCCTTAAAAGATCTAGAACTTGTTCCTGTTTTAGAGAAGCATTACACCAGGGAAATTAGCAAATATGATAAGTTAACATATTTAATCTGCATCTAAGGTAGAAACCAAGATCCAAATTTTCAAGATATACAATTCTGAAGATACACAACTGGTTTTGTTCTTGTTTCATAGTCAGTGACCTCTTCAAACTAGTGAGCTGCCTACAAAGACAGCATTTTAGGCATCACTGAAAATTGTGACACTGACAGTATGCTACAGGACCCAAAAATGCTTTCAGATTTCAGATGTAGTTGTTCCATTGGATCTAGGAGAGGAATATTGAAGCAGAAGTGGTATTGAGATGTACTCACTGGAGGTAGGACTGCCAGTTGACCTTGTTTGCTCGGACCTCTGCGGCCTTGGCTGCGATGATGTTGGTAGGGACGGCAGCGTCCACTGCCCCTCGGATATCCATCTTGAGTTCTTGTATATTAGGACCTTAAAACTGAACACAATATCAAATAGTGACGTGCTGTCCCTGAAAAGGCCACTATGACAAATACTGCAGCATCTGTACTCATTCCAGCTAACTTAGGGTGACCATACGTGCCATTTTCCCAGGACGGGTCCTGGCCAGGATTTCTATATTGCCTAAAATATCTAGGTTTTGGCTTTGTTTGCGTGTGCAGACCGATCGGTGTATGACATCAAAATACCTCGAGAGCATTTTGAAAGCATAAGGAACCGTCTGCATGGTATTTTGATGATTTTAGGCAATATAGAAATCCTGGCCAGGACCCGTCCTGGGAAAATGGCACGTATGGTCACCCTAAGCTAACTTATCCCCTCGAAAAATGGTTAGAAACGGTAACACACAATGAAAAAAATGTTTAACAAAGATTACAATTGATTACTGTGCAAAAACTACAATGTATTACTAATAAACACTATAAAAATGATTTAGCGTAACGTTAGCAGGGTCGTGTATCAGCTAGCTAAGGGTGAACCATAGATATAACGTTATACATGGGGTGAACGGGTAAAAATGCGAATTCACTTAAAATATAGATGAGATTAACTAAACGTTTCGGTAGATCTGTACACATCTTTTTAAAATAATTGGATAACATTTGTTATACGTCTTCAAAACAAACAAACAAAAATACTGCATGGATAGAGCCACTGACAACTGCTAATGCAGAAAGCAGCGGGTTGGAAAGGTAGCGCCTAGACTTTGTGTTTAGTCAGACGTTACTATATCTGGTAATTATTTGTAAACCCAATAAGCAATAATTCTAGCAAAACTATTATAAATATATTTGACTTCTCGCTTACCTGCTGCCTCCTCTGTCAAATTGCTACAAGACGTCACGGGATCAATGTCACGTGATGCTGTCATGTGAGAGAACCAGCGAATTAACCCTTTAAAGAGCACAATCTTTTTTCAGTGGTGAAGATTTGATTCAGCTCAGTGACTCGAATCATTTGAATCCGTTAAAATGCGCTCATTCATAAGGAACACCATGCAACGTCAAACACGGAAGAAATTTGAGGCGTGCTTCATAGAGAGATTTGAGGTATGATGACATAATATAGGCCCACTTCTGTAAATAAATGTCCATGCTTTCATCTAATATACATCTGTATATAATACAGTCATATGTATTTATATCAGTGGTTCTTCAACTTTTTGACTCCAAGCACCCCTATTGTAGCTACACAACAATATTCGAAGCCTGCAGCAACCAGTGAAACCAGATTAAAATAATTAACTACAATAATTATAATTGAAATAATTGTAATTAAATAACATATATTTAAAAGTAAATACCTGAATTAAAAATGATAATGACAATTATTGTAATTAAATAATTCTAATAGATTATTTATTGAATTCAAATTATTCCGTTTCAGAATTCCAGAAGTTTTAAGAGATGAATGTTTTTTAAGGATCCCACTTTTTAACCAGTGAATTTACATGACTTTTTCAGTCATTCATGGCTTACTGGATAAGAATTAAAAAAAAAAAAAAGAGAAAAAAAATATTAATTTAAGGGGAGACACTGTCTGCAGGCAAAAACACTGTTTTTTTCATGCACCTGTCAAGTTTGAGATTTTGGGCTTTTTGGTTTTTCATAAAGTGTTTTTTCAGACTAGTGGACAGAAAACATCCAAAAGACATGCTAAGTGTTTCTTTTATAGCACTTTATCTATTTGTGTCAGTAGATTTCAATGACAATACATATTTTTAAAGGCCGTTTTCTCAAAATAATTTTTTTCTCCTACACTGAGCCATAAATCTCCACTTCAGTAGCACTTACACACACCAAACTTTACATTTTTATTCCTGTCTATATCCTGAAGGTTTTTACAGAGGGATTTCTACATATATAATTTGCTTGATTACATACAACATTTTAATCCCCCCCAAAATTGTGAAAATATTATGTTTTCTGTCCGTTCTAAGCATTTTCTGAATTATGGAATGACAAAAATGAGATACCCAAAATTCCCTCTGTAAAAACGTTTGACTCTAATATGTCAAAAAAATAAAACAAGAATTTTGAAACGGACATCATCCAGTGTTCAGATAGATTTTTGTACTAGAAATGTATGCAAATTAGCGCATATTTCATTAAATAATGACTCATTTGCATATCTAAACCTAACATTTTAGAAAACTTGTAATACAAATTTTGTTTTGCAATTATCAATGTAATCAATCAGCTGGGTAAGTTTTTTTTACCCTATTCACCTGCAGTTGTCTGTCTCGTACGGTGTCCAGTGTTGTGCTGAATTCTCCACCCCTGCCAGATTATGCACCCCCTCGTTGAAGTCGCTACCTGATTGCCTAATCCCAACCCCTCCCCCACACCTACTCCTAAACCTACCAATACTAGGGGGTGCATAATCTGGCAGGGTGCAAATTTCGGCACTACACCTGGAGCTGACATGTTCAGTTCAGTTAGTTTTGTCGTGGCCACAAGTGAACCGAACATGTCAGCTCCTGGGCACCGTAGTCTTGCCTTAAATATTTTTGACTCACAATTTCTACCTGATAAAATAGGCATTAGTATAAAATGTATATTTTTTTTATTTATTTATAACAACAAAAACATTAATTTACATTACTTTTCTAGGTATAGAAATCAAACTTTTAGCACATAGAAGTTAATGAAACAGTAAAGAGTAGTCAAGTTAACCACATTTGACTGGTGAAGTTCTTATATATTGTACTCTATAAATGCATCCACTTTATTCAAAATGCCGCTCACACCACACACTTATGGCTGTGAACCACAGGCACACACATCCTGTGTTTAATCTGTTCTAAGCCTTTGAAGTGCACTAAACCACTGGGGGATCAGACTCGACTGGACATGCACAAGTGTAATCCCTTTTCTGCCCTGTTCACCAAGTGCTGCTCTCATTTGTTGTCTTCTGTTTAAGTTCCTTTTGTTAAGGTACCTGCTGACCAGAGATGTGAAACTGCCGTGGATCATGAGAAACCTCATGGCTTTGGGTCTTTGGGAACATGTTAGTTCTTTAACAACACGAAAAGGCTTTAGATGAGCTATGCCATGTAACAGAATCATCTTAAAGTGGGAGGTCTGGCCCTTTTCTGTGGTACAGAGCGTTCGGATTTCTCCCTACTTGATGTGGGGGCAGCTACGGCATCTTCTCTTGGCCTGTCGGCACGACGAGGGTTACTTTGCGACAGGAAGTTATGAAAATGAGGACGAGAATGATAATACGGAGGACAGACCAAAGGATCCCATATCCTTTCAGGCAAGTCAGAGTATGCACCAACCTGAATCATGTCAGCACTATTAATTATTTAAAGATAGCCATGCATGAGAGCCACAAGAGCTTTACAAAAGAGCATTTTGTCATTCTTGACAGCTAGATTGACTATGATGAGAAAGTACAGATTTTGACAGTAACAAATGCTTTCCATGTCCATAGATTTATACCAGTGGTTTCTGGGTGTTATTTATTGTCCATGGAGGCAGCTCTCTTTGATGTGATCAGGTTATTTCTAGAAGCCTTCCTGTCTGAAAACGGATTAAGAGTAGATGCAACACAATTTACGAAACACGTTTTGTTTAATAGGAATAGCTTCACACCAACATGATTGTACACATAAGGTCTACACTGTAGGTTTTTGGTGAAATCTTATTTTTAAGCACTTAGACATCATGACAAACATCAAAAATGCAGAATTAGAAGAGTGATTATCTAATATTGTGCAACACGGAAGTAAGCTATTTTCTGTGGACATGCAAGACTTCCAATTCATTAGCCGCTATAGGTAAACAACTAGAATGACTAAGTGCAGTAAACTGTAAAACTATTTGAGCCATGATCCAGTGTGTTTATTATTCAGACAATAAATTAAAATATTACAATAAGACATGCCAGTATGCAGTATCAAGCAGCACAACAAGCTGTTTTGTACAGCTAAAAATAACTGGAAGCGGATGATACCGGAAGTCTCACACATTCAAGTTAAATGGGGGCACCCGTTCTTATGTTAAAAATACACAATTTTATTTAACAGCTTTACAAAAATGAATGTCAATGTTTATAATACCTTTATTTGTTAAAGTTCACATTTAAAGCTGGGTGATAGGATAGGCTGCACTTTAATGCATTTATAACATTTAAGTTGTATGATAGTGTATAATAGTTGTCAACTGAAGTTAACAATTTGTTTTGAGGTGATATTGAGGATTAATAATTATGGTTTGTGTTTAAATACAATTTTGGTGTAGTGACAAGCCTTGTTAATATTATGTGATGTGTCGTTGTCATATTTAAAATGCCGCATATCATGGTTTAAATTTTTGGGTATATCACCCTACTAAGCAGTTCAACCAAGAAGGTAACTGAAAGTCATGGCGTAATAATTTTATCTTTAGTCCCCTAGTGTGCAAGCCAAAGGCCACTGTGGCAAGGAACAGAACACTTTATTTAATGCCGTATAATGAAGAAGAAAAAACTTAAGAGACACCAGGGTGCACCAGGGGACCAGTCCTCCTTGGGCTATACAGTTCAAATGTAATTTCAATAGCTTTGTTGATTATAGGAACATGGAACTCTAAAAAATATAACAATGCCTTTAGTATGCTGAAATATTGCACTAAAGTCATTCTTTTTTTCCTTGATTGTTCACCAAAAGATTAATATGATTTACTCACCCTCATTTCGTTCTAAAACTATGTAACTTACATTCTTCTGTGGAACACAAACAGAGAATTTTTTATAAGGCTTCGATTTGTCTATAAAGTTAGTGATGTCCAAAACAACAATGGACCACAAGGAGTTTATTATATAGACAAAAAAAGTGTAATTTCCGTTTGAGGTGAACTATCCCTTAATTAGATCTTATAAGTGGTTGCAATAAATGTAATTCAAACACAATAGGTACACTGCTGATATGCAAAATGTATTTTTTTTTAAAACATGTTTTGTTTTTAAACTTTTGGTGGCAGATTACACAGAATATCTGAAAAAAAAGGCCAGGAGATACTTATTTTTCTGAATTGGCTGTACTGATTATAGTATGACCTATCGCACTCATCATTGTGAAACATCTGAGTAAATGTGACAGGTTTTTCTAGACTGAGGCCTACATAGTTGCCCTCTGACATCTTCAGCATGCTGGATGGAAATTAGACAGTCTCTTTTAGTTATTAAATGATGTCAGAGGAAAAATGACAGTTTCAGATTCAGAGCTTGTTCTCATTGAATGGAACACTTTCTATTCACTTTTAATTTCAAGATTAAAAAGCTCTTTGTTAGGTGACATCATAAATAGACAGTTTAATATAGAACACCTGACTGGCCTTGAAACTTACAGCGGTGGACATCTGGTGTATTTTTAATGAATGTCTTAAATTCACATAAGAGAAACGCTAATGACCTTCATGGAGATCAATTTGAAAATGGCATGAACCTTAAGACCAGCTTCTGCTCTCCTAGAGAGTTCTCGGTTTGTGTTTTTCCTGACCTTTCTTTTTCAAAGGTCAGAATGAACAGTTCTGCACCACTATTGGCATTAAGGTATTGGTTTTGATGTGAAATCATTTCAGAACAGACCTTTCACTTTTTATAAGAATATGTATCGGTGTTACAGAAATCCTGCACTTTGTCATAGAATGCTGGTCCAATAAACAGTCACATAATAAAATGCATAAATGCTCCTGAAGAAATTAAAAGAATTACATGATAGTCATATTTAATTCATAACTCTGAAGAAGCCCAGATATGTCATCTTTAAAGAGTATAGACTTATTGCTTTACTGATGCCATTCTAAATTAACAGTTTATTATGTTCTCTTGACTATATATTTTGATTTCCATCTGGAAGGCTACTGTATGCATAAAAATAAGCACACTAAGAAGAATGATTTCAGATATCTAATGTTTGTTAAAGCATTAAAACTTTTCATCTGTCATGGATAAAGCAGCTTAAACCAGTGTTTGCATTTTTAGAAGGTGCTGGAACACACAAGCTAATGTTCTTGGTGCTTGTTTGAACTTTCTGAATGTGCCACCAGTTGATATTTTATATTTAGTCTAAGACTGTTTAGAAGATTGAATTTCACTACTTGTTTTACAACATTCTTTCAAAACAGGCCACAACCTACAATCAATAGATTTTAAAGCACACTAAAAGGATTATCAGAACTGATATCTAGTGATGCAAATTAATTTCAAATATGCAGCCCTAGCCATTAAACTGTAGTTATTTGGGGAAAAGGTATAGACCTATACAAGCTGTCAAACAGTACCACCTAGTGTTTGCAAAGAGCTGTACCTCTCTCACTCTCTTTTCCTACACAGTAGGGATGGGAAGATTCCCCGATTCGCTCGGTGCATCGGCATAAAAAGTTAACGATGCGATGCATCGCTTCTAACATATTTGCATCGGTAAAAACCGATTTATTTATATATAATTACTAGTGGATGCGCTATACTTTTATTATTTAGAAAGTGACCAATAATCTGTGATCTATGCGTTTGTTTGTCAAGCGCGTTCTCTCATCACCGCTGCTGCGTAAATATGATGCATCACAACCCCACGGAGACCCGAGAATAAACTGGGATTAAAGTCCAAACCCTGACTTGAAATAACCTAACAAATCAATCAGGGCTAAAGCGGTTCCGTAAGCGACTAATTAAGTTCACACAATCTCACTAATTTGTGCACGCTTATTCTTAAGCAGCCCGTAATGTAGATCAGTGGTTCCCAACCCTGGTCCTTGAGGCACCCCAACACTGCACATTTTGCATGTCTCCTTTCTCTGACACTCCAGTTTCAGGTCTTGGAGTCTCTACTAATGAGATGATGACCTGAAACAGGTGTGTTTGATTAAGGAGACATGCTAAACGTGCAGTGTTGGGGTGCCTCCAGGACCAGGGTTGGGAACCACTGATGTAGATCATGGATCAAATCGATCCACCATGGCAAACAGCGAATATATTCGTGTTGTTTAATGCATTTGAGACGTTGTGTTTTCCTCAGTGCATAACTGACACGTCACAGGTATATTTTTCATCTGTAAATGTTAGAAAGTCATGCAAATATATCCATTTTGCTGTCAGGAGTTGGCGTGGCACGCGAGAGCAACGAGCGCTGCTGCGTTCATGCGTGCTAAACAGACGGCGCGCAATCGAATAGGAGCGCAATAATTCTGAGTAAAATATACATTTTGCTAAAATATTGGTTGTTGGACATTAAATGTGCCTTTTGTAGAATTTTAAACCTTCATATATGTGTATTTTTATGATAGCAGTAGGTAACAGTAAAGGGACTATTGTAATGGTTAAATCAAATGTAAGCTAGTTCAGTACTAATTACTAAGCTCAAATGAGTTAATGTGTGTTTCTTATAGCAGTTTAGAAGTCATTGTCTTTATTATTTATTTTCATTTTAATTCAGTGATTTTTAACTTTTAATTTAGTTATTTTAATGCTTTAAAGAGCAATTTTAGATTGTAATGTTCTAATGTTCTGCTATCTGTTCTGCAAAGGTACAGCTGTCATAAAACCAGAGAGAGCCTTTCTGCTTGGCAAGAAACTGTAAAAAAAAAAAAAAAAAAAGTCAAATAATAGTGTTCCTATTGGTCAGTGTTAGAGGAACTCGGCTTAGTCTGACAGTTAAGCTGCTTTAGACCAGGTTAGTTTCCCAACATACGTTGCCACAGTGACTGAAGTTAATCTATGTTAAATTTGCTTTATGGAACCAAATCATTTGGCAATGAGTCAGACTAACTGAAATAAACCTGGCTTATTTGGTAAACTTGTTTTATGAAAATGTAAAAGTGATCATATTTTTTCCATTTCATCGTGTTGTCTCGAATTGCATTGTGTTGAATCGAATCGAAATCGGATCGCACAGCATCGTAATAGGGGTGAATCGTATCGCATCGCATCGGTAGCTGCTTCATATGTATCTTTAATGATTCGTATCGTTGGCTATGCATCGAGATGCGTATCGTATCGGGCTCAGTCATGAGATGCACATCCCTACAACACAGTGGTTGGATGTCATGACTCTATCTCCATATATACTACATCTAGATCTATAGTTTCACGTTTCGAAGTATTCCCGATGGATATGAATTATTTTCATCGCACATTATCACCTTTAAATACGGCGTTTCTGATATGCACAGCAGACTCGTCTTTGATGTCTTACTCACATTTGGTTTTTCCAGCAATTCCGCTCACAGCTCCAGCAGATGTCACTAATGCCCCTAGATTTCCCAATGAAAGGCCGTAGACTAGTAAAGATGGTAATCACGACTGTATGCGACTGCTAATTATGTCAGCAAATGAACACGTCATGTGGTTGAGTTGAAGTCATAAACGTTTTCATATCAGTCTATAACCATTTTCATGCTTACAATATAATGAGTTACTATTATATTTGGCATTTCATTGCACGACGAGTATTTGTATGCTTTTGGTTGCTAGAACCTGTTGATGTTGATACGAATTCAGGACCATGGACAGAGTCAGTTGTGCTGCGATCCGCTTCTCTTCAGCTGTCACCAAGATTTGATCCAACCATCTCAGTGAACCATATTAGAGATTTAATAAGTGAGTATGTTTTAGGTAAAAAGTGGGAAGAGGCTGGTAATTTGAGAACTTCGAATTTGAATTTGAATATTCCATGTAAAAATCGAAAATATTCCAACGATATCAGCTGCATGCTGATACAATAATAACATTAATTTCAGAGATTAAAGAACTGAGCAACTTCAGATCACATTCCTGAGTTATTCACACTGAAGTAACATTTTTTTCCACTCTTCACTTGCACAAAATCAATGTATTATTGTATTATTGAATTATATATATATATATATATATATATATATATATATATATATAATTCATTTATTTATTTGAAGAATTTGGTGAATGTTTATTACATTCTTGTAAAATGCACAGATTTCATCCAAGAGTGCAACAGAATCTATTCTGTCACCAGTGACTCTAAGTAAGCCGTGGTTCCTGACGAGAAAGGGAACCTCCTTATGATGTTACTGTGCTTAGGGCGGGGGTCTTCCTCACATTTTAAGTCCATGGTTCACCATAACCCTCAGTCACATTCTATGACACATTATTGACACCTTATGTGCGGCGCACAGGGACACAATCGGTCTGCTTGACCACTCGTTTCATTGGTGGCAGTGTTAAACCTAGCCATCCTCCTCCATTAAACACACAAAACAATATGAGCGTTTTATTTATTAGGCTACTAAGCTGACGTTTGCGACTCGTTTTCTTGACAAACCGCATGCAGATGCGTGGCGTTGGGTGTGTAAATAATTTGAAAGTAAAAACCGCAGGAGTGCAGGAAAACATTTAAATATGCCGTATTTCACCGTTAGATGTAAGTGCATCATGAATCAGTGACATCCAGAGGATTTACGCGACCACCGCCACAGCTCGCGAGAGACACGCATGCGCATTGTCAAAAAACAGCCGGTCTTTAAAAAATCCTTACGCCAACGGATGTAATCAAGGCAAAGTATATCTCTTATCTCTGGGCATACATGGTGAAATTGTAAGTATGGGGATCCTAAGTTGTTTTTTTTAATATACAGGGTATCCGTGGAGAAAACGACCTTTGATTTTGATTGTTGAAGATGGCATGCCATGTTTGACAGAAATGTATTTTCGATGGTTGTCCAGGGCGATAAAGAGATATTGTAGCTGGGCTCCATGGTGGCATTTTGTAATGCGAGGATATGCGATGGAAATGTTAGTCCATTAGGTTTTTTTTAATAGAATGCGCTGTCTTTTTATTTTTCCCAGTGCGCCCCATGTTTAAGGATGCGGTTCACATTTAAAGCTATAATATTCCTTTTTTCGTCTGTTCTGCTTCGGTCAAATCTAGCAGACCATATCAGGCTTTTCTGTGAGCCAGTGTAATTATCATCGTTTGCTAGTCGTGAAATCATGCAGACAAAAAATTCCGCAAAATACCAAATTATTTTTTTAAAATCGTGTTTATTACCATCAATCACGGCTCGAGCATTTCTTGCACCGCGGCTGTGATCACTGATGAAGGAAAGGGATCCGACTGCAGCTAGATGCGTGCTGCGCCCCCTCCTACCCCCAAATATTCCAAAATCTTCCAGCTCAAGCGAGGAATTTGATTCCCACGATTCTTTGGAATTAACACAGCAAGATCAGAACTATTGATCAGGAGTCATTTAGCCTAATTATTATAACTCGTATCTGTATGCATTCATAAAGACAGCTCAGTACAGGAACTTACACATTTGCTTCAAATAACCTTCGGTTTTTATCCAATGCGTGGTTTGTTTGAACCCTAAAGCCAGGTTGTTTAAACCAGTGCAGACACCGAAATAGAGAAATAGAGAAAACAACAAGTCTACATTTATTGTGCTGTAGGCCTAAGCATGTTTGCAGAATGAGAAGCACTGTAACACTGAATGTGACAATTATCTTATGATAATAAGCTATTTCATCAACATGCTTATGATTCAGATATGGTAGAAACTGTAATCTATCAGTTATTAGTTGTAAAAATGACCTTTTCTACACAAAATCTAGAAAGCCATTACAAAAAAGACAAGTGTTTATGTATGGGTTGTATCCATTTATTTAGAGAAGCTGTGGAGAGCTGTTTGAAATAAGTATGACGTGACATGTTAGTGTTTGTGACATGCTAGGACATTTTGGTTTCTGGTCAAGTTAAAGCATGTCTTCTTCCCCCAATTTCTATGTGAAGGGGTTGCCATCCATCCTTTTATTTTCTAGCATGGTCAGTTAATGGAAGCCACTTTCATGCATATTTATTGTTTCGTTAAAAGCTTTATTTTCTCCATTGGAAACCACCAAATGTTTAAGTGGACTTGAGGAAAATAACTTCCTCCTATATCTAAACCCTACATTTGTTTGTTGAGCCATTAATTCATCCAGTTGATCTCCGTGGCTGCAGTTGTATTGGCTCTGTCTCAGTTGCATCCTGTTTTCTGCAGCCCATGGGATCAGAGCGGATGGAGATGCGAAAGAGGCAGATGTCGGTGCAGCAGGAATCGGTGGCGGGCACCACAGCACCGGTGCAGAACGAGCAGCCCGGCCAGGGGAACCGTGGCTCCAATGCCTGCTGCTTCTGTTGGTGCTGTTGCTGCAGCTGCTCCTGGTAGGAGTTTTTCTTTCGTTACGCTGCTAATGTGAGATCTTATCTAACAAGGTTCATTTCGGGCCAAACTAATGGCCAGGAAATCACTGTATTATAAGAAAATAATTGCATTTGACAAGATTATTACTTTTCTTCACTACAGTTAATATACCTGGAATATTGCTCAGATGTGATTTAAGTACTGTTTTTGCTCATTCCACAAGTATGATGTCATTTTTACTGAAGTGTCTGAGATCCCAAGACATCTGCTTCGAAAAACACCAGAACTCTTGATATTCTGGCTGTGAGCTTATAATGAGCACCAGTTACTGATATAAACTGAACGTTGAGCAGGTGAAAGATACTCCAAGGCTTTCTAATGCATACTGTTAGGGGTCTTGGGATCATGATGTGTTTACAACCTTGCAGTCTCACTGTTAGGAATGAAGACAGAGATGAGAGGAATCGGAGAGCCTCGTATGATTTTAAAGCAGAGGGGAATGCAGATTTTGAGGAAAGGTCAGTCGTTCCAGACTTTTATTGAAAGAGGATTAGTAAAAATACAAAAAAAGTAACTTGCAGGGCATTAAATTTGATATTCATATGTAAAAATAAATAAAAATATAAGCATTTTCTGTAAAATATTGAAACCAAAAAAGGCTTTTGTAGCTTCATAATATAGTTTGCTACGTTGTTTTAGTTTTGTTTTATTTAAAAAAATAATAATTACTATAGTTTTGCAAGATGCAACTTTCTGAGAAATTACGCATGAAATATTCTTAGTTTTTATTTTAATTGATTACTCTAGTTCCGCAAGATGCAACTCTCTGACAAATTATACCTAAAATATTATTTATTTTTATTTAAATTAATTGCTGTAGTTTTGTGAGATGCAACGTTCTGAGAAATTACACATAAAATAATCTTTCTTTTTATTTAAATGAATAACTATTTTCCTGTAGGATGCAACTTTATGACAAATCACCCCAAAACATTCTTTGTTTTTATTTAAATTAACTACTATTTTTCTCTAGGATGCAACTTTCTGACAAAGTACCCCAAAATATTCTTTATTTTTATTTAAATTAATTACACTTTTTCTCTAGGATGCAACTTTCTGACACATTACCCCAAAAGATTCTTTATTTTTATTTAAATGAATTATTATAGTTCTGCAACATTCAAATTTCTGACAAATTACACCTCAAATATTTTTGATGTAACAGTATTTCATGAAAAAAACATGAAGAATAGAAGAAAACTGTTACTGATGGGTCTGTTGCACTAAGACCCCTCTGTTTTTTGGCAGTACGAAACCGACTGCAGAGGAGGTCTGCTTGTGGGGGCAATCTTTCGACAAACTGATGCAATGCCCCGCTGGAAGAAGTGCCTTCCGGCAGTTTCTGCGCACCGAATTCAGTGAGGAAAACATGCTCTTCTGGTTGGCCTGCGAGGAATTCAGTAAGGAAACCAATAAGAGCCTCATCGAGGAGAAGGCACGAATAATATATGAAGACTACATCTCTATCCTCTCACCCAAAGAGGTGAGAGAACACATCAGCACATCTAGAAACAAGCTAATCACATTTCCTGTTTAATCAGGGTGATTAATATTCTTGTTTTTTGTGCTTTTTTCAGGTGAGCCTCGACTCTAGAGTTCGAGAGGTTATAAACAGGAACATGCTGGAGCCAACATCCCACACGTTTGACGATGCCCAGCTCCAGATATTCACACTAATGCAAAGAGACTCGTATCCGCGATTCATGAACTCGTCGGTATACAAAAACCTGCTTAAGACAGTCTCTGAGCAGTCGGTGGAAACTTAGATCTCTGTGATCCCGGTCGAATGCCCCCTCCCTATCTTTTGCCCGTTACCTTTTCTTGTGTAGAATATGTTTAAAAGGACCCCAGCATGGGTTCTCCCAGGGATTTTACCGCTATAGCGATCTGTACCTGAAAAAAGACGCTCAGGTCTCCAGGTCACTGGATTTTTAAAAAATGTCTCAAATTTCCCGAGGGCTCAACGTAAGTACTCTACAAGTACTGCTACAGATCAGCATAGCAAACGATGCTCCAAAGGATTATCAGTGCGTTTCGGTGTTTTTAAGAAAAATAATCGATTTTATTTGTGTTGGCAGTTTTTTTTTAAAAATTGTTTTTAATTAATTTTTTTGTATTAATGTTTGAAGGAAGATGTGATACCAATCGTGGGCTATATACAGTAGATATATTTATGAATTTGTATTACAGTTCTTCAATCTTTTTTTTCTTGTGTTACACTATTTAAAGAAAAGGGAATTATGGGTAACAAGAATTGCCCGTTTATGAAAAATGCGTATGAGAATCAAAGCTCGAGTCAAGGCAACGCTTCAGCTCTACTCACGGGACGCCCCCGTTGTAAACAGTATTGTTACAGCTACTTTATCAAATAACCCCTGTTATAATTAATTAATTTGCTGTAAAGTTGCTTTGCAACGATTTGTATCGTAAAAAGCGCTATACAAACAAACTTGAATTGAATTGAATAATGACTTGGCATCTCCAATGAGAAATCATCATTATCAGAAATAAAGAGAAAAACTAAAAATTATAATTAAAGAGAAAAAATATATTGTAAGGGGGAAACATTTAAATGAGTATTTCAAATCAAATAGCATATCTCAGACAGCTTAGTTCAGTTATTTCCCCTGCCTTTTGTACTGCTAGAAAATATCAAAAATGTATTTACATAAGTATCATCTATCCATAAGTGTTTTTCTGTATCATAGCATTCATTGATTCAACTAAGAGTTGGTTGGACATGGCAACTATTCCTTGCATGTACTCAACCCAAAGACGCTACGAAGACTGAAAGCCTCATCAGTGTACAGTATATAGAGGTAGTAATATTTATACGAATGACCTCGGATAGAAGAGATTTAACATGCAGGTATTATATTACAGTATCAAATGTGTTTTAGATCTAAACATGAGCCCTGAAAGGAAAGGTGCAGGTTTTATTGCTAAGACCCTCATAAGTAGATGACACCAAAGTAGCCAAGTCCAGTAAAACTGTGCGATTAGCTTTCTCTCCAATACAACTGACTAGAATTGGAGCTGCCAAGTTCGTACTGTATTTTTAGTTCTGTGAATTACTTTGTTGCCTGAATTTCATGTCGCTCAAAGACAAGATCCTCACTCGGGGAAGTGCCTTGACATTCAATTTTGTGACATCTCTTTTTTGGCAATAGTTGATTTAAACTCTTGCCACATACAGTACGTAGACTCTGGGCTTTTGATCATTCATGAGATGACTTGTCCTGCACGGTGGTAACTTCTGAATTGAGCTATTGCACTTTGTTTGCCTCTAGTTTTGGAGCGAAAAACACCATTGGTTTTGGGTGACCGTGATTTCACCAAGTACAACATGTTCCCCGATCAACATCCTTGTTGATCCTGGAACAACATTCCAATTAACCAATCAGAATTGAGGGATAACTTTTCAGGAAATATCTGTTTTAGGCTTACGATCAGGGTTAGGTGCTTCTACACCCTTGTTAATCAGCTATCATTTCACACTGATTTTAGGAATAAATTATGGGTAGGTTTAGGGGTAGGGATTGGGTTTAGTCTATATTTTTGGACAGTAATGTTGATCCAGGATCAACTAAAGATGTTGATCCAGGAACATGTCTTACTTGGCAAAATCACGGCGACCTTGGTTTTGTCAAGTGCTGAAGTGGGTCTGTTTAGTCAGGTACAATTCATTAGAGTCCAGACGTACATCTACCAACATGTATTTCATGGTGGTGCTTCTACTTGTCTTAGATTAACTTAATATGAAATGCGCAATTGATATGTGCAATTTGAGCTGAGGGATTCACCACATAGATCAACCTCAAACACAATCTAAGCCAATGGTTTGGTTATACTGCCTATAAATCCTTTTTTCTTTCTCTCTTTTTTGTTGTTGTTCTGTAAAGTATACAAAAAAAGTGTTATTTTCCAATCAGTTTACATAAAAATTATAATACTTTTTTTTTGACAAATATGTGAATGTTTACAGTAATCAGATTAGTTTTTTTTTCTGTTTTAATGAATTGAGAAAAATAATGATTTGTGGGCATTTGGAATCTTTAAGATACAATAAAGCACAATAATGTTAAAATGTGTGATTGTTGTCAAAGCTGCGGAATGTGGATTGACATGAGTTTGTGGGATCATGGGAACTCGGGTTCGAATCCGTGAGGTCTATTTTCTCACCCCTGCTTTGCTGTCTAATTTACTCATACTGTTCTAGAAGTCAGGAAATTACAAAATAATATAAAAATGCAGTGCCCTCATTTATAAAATACATTAATAATAATAAATGTAAAAATATATATATACACAATACATACATAAAACTGCCAGTTAATAAAAAATATTTATAAAAATACACTGATATGATCTGCAGGGCATGCATATAAATATGCATAATCTAAAATATTTATTTATTTTTTAGAAAATTACCAGTTCCAAAAATGATTTGATCTATATTTGCCATTTGACATGTAAATAATTACATTACATTTAGTCATTTAGCAAACACTTTTATCCAAAGCGACTTACAAATGAGGACAATGGAAGCAATCAAAATCAACAAAAGAGCAATGATATGCAAGTGCTATAACAAGTCTCATTTAGCATAACGCTGTACACGTAGCAAGGGTTTTTTAAATAATATAAATAAAAAGAAAACCGATAGAATAGAAAAAGAACAGAGCAAGCTAGAGTTAGAGGTCTTTTTTGCTTTTGTTAATTGTATAATAAATGAAAAGAAAACTGATAGAATACAAAAATATTAGAAAGCTAGTGTTTTTTTATAAAGAGTGCAAGTCTAAAAGGGACAAGTGTTTTTTTTAAAGAATAGAATTAGAATAGAGAATGCTAGAGTTAGAGGGTCAAATAAAGATGGAAGAGATGTGTTTTTAGCCGATTCTTGAAGATGAAAATAATGAATCCAAATGTTCAGAATAACCACAGGGATTTCTGTTTGGTCTTACAGTGGAGGGTAACAGTGCTGCCCACTCACTCTCCTGTAGAGGATGCACCTGGGAACCTCACAAAAGCACCTTGAAGCAAGTGTCCTCCCCATTTAACGGTTCCTAAGGACTAAAGTTAGTGTATATATAAAGAGCATTCATAATGTAAACATCTTTTCCTATTAAAAATGGATGAGCTGCTCTGCTTATCTTAAACTACTGTAAATGACGAGCAAAGATGCAGTTGTTTTTGGATGATATAAACCTCCTGTTTTCCATATGCACAAAAGGACGTCAAGAACAACCACCAAAGGGTTGTTTGTTATTCAGATGAGATATTGCTAATGCTAGGGGCTTGTTAGGACATCAAGGCGGTAGTGGGTACTACAGCTAAATAATTTGAGAAGAGAGCGATAGAAATTCACTAAACTGAGCAACATTTCATCTGACCGCAAATGGCAAGTACTATCCACTTTGTATTGATTGCCGATGTCATAAGTAACATTGCCATAACATATGTGTGTGTTTTCTTTACAACACTATCTCATAATCATAAATTATGGGTAATGCTGTTTGCTGCTTGTTAAATGATCTGCCTTTTTGGAGAAAACAACCTCACAGAAAAAAGCAAACACATGACCTCTACCAAACAAATTGAGATTATGTTATGGATTGCAATCAAAAATAAATTCAGATCCATACCATGCACAAAGTTTTTATAAAAAGCTGTTCTAGATCATACTTGCACTCATAAGAGGCCTACATTTCTGATATAAGCATGGAAGATTTTCAAATGGTTTTTGAATTGAAAAAAAAAAAGATATCACTAAAAATAAAATTAAAATAGTACCCGATAACAAGCTACAGATACCTTGATCTATAAGACTATTAATTTTCTTGTAAATAACTTACAAACAGCAAAAATTGATAAGAAAAATCAACCATCTCAGATGTATAATGTAGCGTCTTAAGATGACATATAAAATCACAATCACCATCAATCTTTAAATCATTTTACTCCTGAAAGTAAAAGCCATGTACACAGTAAAAATTTGTAGATCATGCCATATAAATATGTATAATTCAGAGTGACAAAGAGACTCAAAGTAGCGTCCAAATGAACAAGGTTCAAAAAAATCTTACGCCGTTACCAAAAGCAAACATACGCTAAAAGCATTTTTTTTTAAAATGGGCAAGTTTGTCTAGGAAAATTAAATAGTTTTGACTAGCTTTCTTTAGAGCAAAGCAAAACTATCTAAATATGAATGTTGTCAAAATTTTTAACTACGTATAAAAAGTGATGGTAAAAGAAAACAGAAATTCAACAACATTGTTCAAAGTCCAAAGGCCTATGGCCTAGCTAAACGTCAAGTTAAAACACAGGACATGAGTTTGTGGACCATTATAATAAAACAAACGTTTGATGGGATCTATTGTGGCCTTTGTACATCAGGTGTGCCATTAAATTGTTGTCCATGATACAGAAACGTGGTCCTGGAATTTAGCTACATCTCCAAACACAGAGAACAACCCCCAACTTCAGCAGAACTGCGGAAACAGATTGAATAGAGACAGCGTTAATTAAATATTCATCAATGAAATTCATCAATGGATACACCAAAAGGACATAACATACCTTCCACCTATTTCCACATTCAGTGCAGAAGACGAATGTTGTCATCGGTTCATCAGCACTTCGAGTTTGAACCTAAAGAAAGTTGTGTGTTTATAAAATGTACATGTATAAAAAAAAAACGATACCAATATTCATAAAACATTGTGTATGATTACCTGGGTGTAGGTACACTTCTTCTTTTTGCACTTGCCACAAGTGAACAGGTCAGTCTGGGTGCCGCCAGAAGTGGCCACCTGGTGGTCCCTGATGGCTTCTTTGGTCAGATTCTTCCGCATCTCCTTTAGCTCATCGCTTGCCATTTCCTGTTTGGTTTTAGATTTCCATACTGTCAGTATGAGAGAGAACATCTTCCTATAATTACTACAAACTGGTTGTCACTCACCTCTGCTGTCATTTTTGCTATGCGGTCTGGACTCACATTCCCACACAGCACATTCCTTCTCAGGTTGGGGTTCTTTGCATCCTTAAGATTGGAGATTCGGCTTCGTACACGATTCTTGTATTTCATATCAGTATTTTTAAACTCCGAAAAGATACGTGCAAGCTGGTCAAGGAAATGCGTGTGAAATTTAGTATGCTGACAACTAATATTTTTTAGACTTCGCTCACATTTCAATAACAATTGCTACTTTGTGGGATGAATCTGAAAAGGATATATTCTTCAATCTGAGCTCCAAGTTCATCGCAGTCAGCACCAATCGCAATGTAATCCTCTAAAAGAAAAACAAGACAACACTTAAACCATTAAAAAAAATTATTAAATTGATATATTATAGACCAATGGACCTTTTTCACATTTCCGGGTTTCTCAGCAGCGGAAGTCATCATAGTTGGGTTAACCTGAAGAGCAGTGAATGGGAGAGTACCACAAATATATTTTTTGCATTCCCATTTGCTCAAATAGCAAAAGAAAAACTCCACGATAGTGTTTTCATGACTTTCAATAAAAGGAAAAAAAAATTGAGAGAGACTGACAACGGCAGTCAGAAGAGAGAACGATGTCAAATTTACCATCCCTCCAACAGATGCTGCATTAGAAACACCCTCGCATTAACGTTAATTGTTATTTTGTAATTTGATGCAAAAGTGATTTAATACAAAGAATAGTGTTATAAATGTACATACATTTAAAAAAAAATAATACAAATATGAAAAACTTTAGAGGATTTACGATGCTGATGACCGTTAAAGCCGTCTTGTGAAAAGGGTCCATTATCAATCATTTCTTAATTATTAATAACCGTTAAATTAGCATTAAAGTATTTCATGTATTTTGCACCATCACTGAAGTTTGAATGTTATGAATGATTTATAACAAAATTAGTAACAAGTCTAAATACACTTGGCAAGACACTGTATATGGTAACTTAAGGAGAAAAATGTGCACGCAGAAACATTGCCTGCCATGACTTGCCTCCTGTTTGCAAAGCACTTGACAGCATCTCCCTGCACTTGATACGGACCGAGTCAGATGTGCCTTGTGCTCGTGGGAAAGTGGCTATCAATGTGTTGGCTGTAACATCGACAGACTCACTCTTACTGCTAGAATTACTGCTTGAGCTGAGAGAGAAGAAATAACAAGATAGAGGAAAAAAGGAACAGGGTGAGAAAGCTCGATAAAGCCGTATTCAGGGCCTAAGATCAAGAACGATGTGATTATTAAATTTCATAATAATTTTATGACCATTAGCATGGTCTTGGTACCTCTCCTCTCTGGGCTCCGGGCTGGCTTGAGATGGTGAAACCACTGGTGTTGTGCGTTCCTTCTTTTTCTCTTCAGAGTTCTTTTCGGCAGC